ATACAGCCAGATATTGTCTCAAAGACAAATATATATATATAAGACTGGATGAGATGTGGGTAAGGATATTCACTGCCAAGTCTGATGACCCGAGTTTGATTCCTATGACCCATATGGTGGAAGGAATGAACTCCCAAAAGCTGTCTGTCCTCACAAGAGTACAATGGCACATGTGTGCACTCCTTCCCACCTCCCCTCCCTCCCCACTAAATAAATCAATGTGAAATAATAATAATAACAAGGGGACTGGAGACATGTTTTAATGGTTAAGAGCACTGGCTGCTCTTGTAGAGGGCCTGGGTTCAATACCCAGCACCCACAAGGTGACTCACGACTGCCTGTGACTCCAGTCCCAGAGACCTGACACCTAGCAGACACCAGACATCTAGGTTTGTACACAGACGATGACATACACTCTAAAACCTAAAAAAATAAACAAATAAATCCAGGTGGTGGTGGCCCAGTCTTTAATCCCAGCACTTGGGAGGCAAAGGCAGGAGGATCTCTGTGAGCTCGAGGCCAGCCTGGTCTACAGAGTAAATTCTAGGACAGCCAGGGCTGTTACACAGTGAAGCCCTGCCTTGAAAAACCAAAACACAAAACAAAACAAATCAAGTCCTAGTCATACATAAAGCCACCTGCTCTATCCTCTCCATATCTTACAACCAACCTTTCACATGTCCTTTTCCCCCCAGTGTTCCCAGGCACTTACAACAGTTCCTGTCACACAGCACAGAGTGGATGACTAAATGACAGATGGAAGAGCCATCTAGGGTTGGCATGTGGGGAGTCTGACCAATCACATCCTCCTGGTGGCAGCTAGCTGGCCATCGATGCCAGCCAAAATGGACTGTCCCTACAAAGACGGCACCTATTGGGATCACCCCAAACTGGGAATGCTAAAAACAGGGGTGCCAGCACACTCTCCCCCAGAGATGTGAGGGTTTGCCTGCCACACCCTATGCCAGGAAAAGGCTTACTGTGAGGATTTGTGCTGCTCTGGATTAACCTTATTTAGAAGCTCCACCTCCCCTGTTCATCTGAATGGACAAGCACTCCCTGGGCAGTGCAGAGAATCAGTTCACTGACCCAAAATTCAAAACTGCTCTGTGGGCTGGGGTGGTAACCTGGTGGAGAACAGGCTTGCCATGTGACCATCGGGTCCTGAGGACTCTGAATCCTGGGAATACACTTCAAGCTGGACATGGCAGCCTTTATAATGCCAGGGCCCTTGGAAGTCTGGACGGAGTAGCACAGAGCAAGAGATGCTGTCTGAAGCAAGATGGCCCCTGTGGCCTGAGGTGTCTCCTAGCCTCATGCTTGGATTGCTGCACATAAATACACACACACACAAAGAGAGAGAGAGAGAATTCTGTCCATTTCAAATAATCACCCAGGATAATCACCCAGGACCCCTCCCCCCAGGATAGAAAAGGAGCAAACAGGAGACTCTGCCCTCTTTCTGTAGAGAGGCCAAAGGACAATTCAGATTTCAGATAAGAGACACATCGAGTTTAAATCATCACTTGTATTTATCTACCGTGGAGGGGTGTGAGTGTGTGCCACAGTGCACATGTGGGGGTCACAGGATGACTGTGGAAGTCCTTATCTTCTTCTGCCCTGTGAGTCCTCAGTCTTGCAGTCAGCATAACTTTACCCTCGAAGGACAGCAGCTCAGATAAAAATGTTCTATTATGGCTAAGTTCAAGACTGTCACAGAACACCAAGCCTGCACTCTGTCATCTAGATACGGTGAAAAACCCTCATTTTGGGATATACTTATGCTAAAAAGGAACAAATAATTTGTTTATCTGAGCTTTTTTCTTAGTGCTAGAATTTAACCCAGGGCCTCAGGCATGCTACAACAGCACTTTACTATTGAACTACAACCCTTCTCAAATTCATATTTCACCATTGAACCAGGCACCCCGTATGTATTTTATCTGACAACCCCTATCCCAGCCTATACCAGCTTTTCGGTTTTTTGATATATTTGTTTTATTGTATGAGTATTCTTGCCTGCATGGATCCCTGGATTTGTTTTATTTTCTGTGTATTATTGTTTTGCCTGCATGGATTTCTATGTACTGAGGACACCTAGTACCTAATGAAGTCAGGGCACCTGGTGCCTGATGAGGTCAGAAGAGGGTTCCAGATGCTCTGGGACTGAGTGCTAGGAATCAAACCCAAGTAGGTCCTTTGCAAGAGCAGCCAATATTCTTGACTGATAAACCATCCTTCCATCAGACCCACTCCCCTTCAGAGCACTCACTTCCTTGGCATCCAAGCTCCTGCCTCCCACAGCCCACACCCACCCTTCCTCTACCCTTCTTAGAAGTGAGCATCCCATCTATTGCCCTGGCTGCTTGAGGCACCATTTATAGATGCCCCACATTGGTCCCCAGCAGCTGTGACAGGATGAGGATGCTGGCACCCAACTGGACACACCTCTGTTCGGAGCCACTGGGCTCATCTGCAATTGCCATTGTCACTGAACTAAAACTCTGCTTCTGTGGGTGGGTCATTCCTGTTGGGTACCTCCGGGGACCCTGGCCATCCTGCCGCCCCAGTTTCTGGTAACAATGAAACCAACTGCAAAGCGCGCCTGACAAGCAGGTGGCTCCAATGGGGGCTAATGGCTTCCCAGTCCTGCCTCTAAATTTCTACATTATCCACAGCAAACACCAATTACTTTTTAATAAGAAGAAATTAACAACAACAACAACAAAAAAAAAGCCAGGTGGTGCTGGTGCATGCCTTTAGGCCCAGCACTCAGGAGGCAGAGGCAGGCAGATCTCCGTGAGTTTGAGACCAGCCTGGTCCACAGAGTTAGTTCCAGGACAGCCAGAGCTACATAGTGAGAACTTCTCTCAAAATACATAAGAAGAAGAAATGTAAGTAAGAAAAACATAAAATTAAGGGCCAGGGTTACCTATATAGCACAAAGGGAATGCCCTTGCCTAGAATTCCCCATTAAGGGGATGAGACATCACAGTGAGTTCCAGGCCCTTATCTGGACCTGTTCCTACCCAGTACATGGTTCTCTCAGCTCCTCTTGCTTCCACAGGAGATGTCCAATCAGCAAGCTCTTTCCCAGATGGCCTTCCCTGTCCTTCCTGGCCCACCAGGACCACAGGAGTCTCAGTTCTCCAGTGAGGTCTCCCAGGTCCACTCATTCCTGCTGTGGAGGCTGCTATCTCCTGAGGAGGGAGAGCCCTACCTCGGGTCCTGTTGGTGCCACTACGTGAAGTTACGTGAAGGCCCTCTGTGTCAAGCCTTGGGAACACAGGACTCGGGCACAGACACACCCCCTGCATCCATGGACTCACTCTATAACCCAAGTAAAGATAACACTCAAAAACTGAGGCAGTGTGATCCCAGAGATTCTGAGGAGAGGGAAGCAGGGTGAGGAAGGGGACATAGCCAAGGAAGCTTCTGAAGGCTTGCAGGTGAGGAATGGAAAGGGTCTCAGAGAGATAGACTGCCGGATCAGCTGATCCGGCGCAGTGGCAGGGCTCTGCCATGTCACCTTCACAGACACAGCCCACTGGGAAGAGCCAGGAGACCCAGGACAGCCCTAGAGCATGACCAGGAGGACCATCTTGTTATAGTCGAGATGGAGGGTCTGAGCATAGCAACACAGGAGAAATCACCAGTCTGGTGGCTCGAAGAAAGGGAAGCCCTCAAAATGAGACAAACTCCCCAGGGACATTAGGAGGCCAACAAGACAGTCAGGAGCCAGCAGGACAGGACAGGAGCCCCTCCAGTAGCCACAGCTGCCCTTCAGCCCCAGGCCTGGAGGAGCTTCATGGCTTTTATCCCAGGGGTTGGGGAGGGTGGAGCAGAAAGATCAGAAGGGGCTCCCTTCCATCTTTCAGCTGGCTAACAATTACCTAGAATTTACATAGTCATTCATTCATTCACTCACTCATTCATTCATTCTACAAACATTTCTTCAATGTCTGAGCCCCTTCTCAGACAATGGAGCAATGGCAGAGACAAATTCTTAGCTGAAGACGCTTTGATCTAGAGGGCAACGGACCAGACATAAATGGTCTCAAGGCTGACAGGGTCCAAGAACATGTTGTGGGAGGCAGCCTCTCACCTGGGGCTTGGAGAGAGTGGTCTGAGAAGCCAGGCAAACATCTGATAAGAAAACCAGGCTGGGGGGGCAGAGCTTCCCAAACCATTGGTAATCTGCACCCCAGCTGTGCCAGGGCCCCTGACAATGGTAGCTATTTCTGGTTGTGCCGCAAGTGTGACTTCCCCCAGGCTGCAGAGCTGGGCTTGGGGGGGGTGGAGTGGGGGGAAGCTGGAGTTTGAAGCTGGGTCTGGCCAAGCTCTGGGCATTGCTACCGGGTCTCAAACACATTAATGACCCTTTAACCTTTCCACAGCCTCCTGAAAGGTGACCACAACCAGGGGAGCACCCCAACCGTGACCAAATGGTCCGAGGTTGGTAGAGGGAGGGCAGTGTGGCGCAGAGAGGTTCTGCTGCGTCTGCGGGGGCCCTTAGCATCACCACCTCCTCTCTCCTTCCACCTCCCACCCCAGCTGGTGGGGGAGGGATCGGAAGCAAAGAAGGAAGTACCTGTAATCTAAACCAGACATCACCGGCTGTGCTTCTTCCCAGCCCACTCTGAACCAGAAATAACATACTCACCAAGCTGGCACCGGCCCACCCATCCCAGCTGGTCCCAGAAAACCACAATCAACCCCCGGGGCCAGGCCCTAGCCTCCCAACAAACCTATTTCCTCCTCGCTCCTCAGGGTAAAGGCTTCCCCTTCAGCATGCCCAAGGGGCCTAGCTCAGGGCCATCCTGGCATTGCCTTGGTCAAGCCCAAGAGCATCCCCGGGTGTGCGCTCACCTACCTCCAGGTACCTGTCCTCAGCTGCATCCAATGTTATCACACGCTGGGGTCCTGCAACCCTCACTGGGACTCTGTACTCTTGCACTCCCAACCCACCCCGTGCCCACTCCACGCTTTAGACCCCCTACCTGGGCGCCGGAGGGCCGGACACCATCGGCGAGGGCGAAGCGGGCGGCTGCGGCCCAGCCTCAAGCCCGGACTGCTTCCCGGGGGAGAAGGAGGAGGCTGGCGCGACCGCCGCACGTCTCTCCGGGGCTGCGGGAAGAAGGAAGGTCAGAGACTCCTAGGAGCGCAGCGCCGCGCGGGGGCGGAGGCGACGCGGATTAGAGCGGCTTCTCTGCGAGCCAATGGCGGCGCGGTGGCTGCGCAGGTGGCAGCGCCGCGGTACCCGGAGGCCGCGCCCGCTGGGTCGCTTGCTCCCCTGCTCGACGTCTGCTTCCTGCGCACTCCTAATCCCTGCGTCTCACATATGGGTGCACTCAGGAGAGGGGCTTGCCTAGGTCTGGCCCTGATGTGATGACCCCCTCCTCTACCTATGTGCGGAGGCACACAGCGCAGGGGCCTGTGGTCTAGCTATACGATGACCCTCTCTTCTACCCATGCATAGGGGTGCGTGCAGGACAGGGGCGGTCTAGCCCTGGTGTGATGATCCTCCCTCTTCTACCCATACGTGTGTGGGGGGCGGGGGTGCATACAGGACAGAGCCCTGTGGTTAAGAGAGAAAGAGCAAGAGAGAGCTCTCCTCCAACCTACCCCATGGCCCACCCCCACTCTCAGCTCTGCCAAGAAGACCCATGTGGACCCTCTGGTGGTGGTGCACACATTTGATCCCAGCACTCTGGAGGAAGAGTCAAGGGAATCTCTGTGAGTTCTGATCTACGGAGAGAGTTCTGGCTACACAGAGAAACCCTGTCTTGAAAAACAAAACACCAAAAAAAAAAAAAAAAAACCACTACCTCTGCCCTTCCCTGGCTCACATTCAGGAGAGAACTGGGTGTTGAGTAAGGGTAGGAGAATGTATTTTGAAGTGGTGAGTCCAAAATTGAAAACAGCTCTGGAGAAAAGAGAAACAACACAGGACTGTGGCCAGGACCAGAATGGGTGAGGCTGGTTTTGAACACTAGACTTCCAATGAGGCAATTCTGACCCAGGTTTGCCGCAGACTTCACTTCTCTTTATTGTACCCCTGAGTTGATCTGCATGTGTCTATGCTTCCTGACTCGCCTGACCGTGAACTCTCACTGTGAGTTCTGAAATTCACCATTCTAGGGCTCAGAAGAATGCTCATTTAGTAAGAGCTCCCCAAGCACTGGTTCCCAACTAGATCTTTAGAGCCTAGAGGAAGACAACACCAACTGAGCAGGCCACAGGGCAGAACCTATGCTACAGTTGAACCAGGCAGTCAAGTGTGTAGATGGGAACAGAGGGATAGAATGAGTGCCCATTACAAAGGGGCTTGTTAGGTTGATTTACACGGTATAAGCCATCTTCGTGCTGGAGAGGCTGCTCCATGAGGCTGGGTGTTTGGCACTGAAGGGTTAGAAGATTTCCGAAGAGCCACAATAGTCCTTGCAGGCCCACAGCAGACATTGGAAGGTTGACGAGGTGGGGGTATGGTGGCAGCTGACACAGCAACGAGACTGATGTATCCACAAGCACAGACTGAAGGCAGGCAAGCAGACTTCTTAAGTCAGGCCTCCCCGTGGGAAAGTGTCTTCTCCCCTCAGTCAGTGATCCAGACCAGCCTCCACAGTGGATGGTGTTCCAGGGAGATCTGGAGGGCTCTGGGCAGAGCTGTCCCACAAGGTTTGCTGGAGGTGCTGAATGACAGCTGAAATCCTGGTTAGCCAGATGGCACAGGAGTCTGGGAACTGTTAGGCAAGGTCAGCACCTGCACTGAATGCAGGGTTTTTGGTAGCCTGGGGCTGATGAGACCCACCCTCTATTTCAGCCTCAGGTGAATTCTCCACACCTCAACCTGGAGTTTCCCATCAGCCCCGGGGATGGGTGGGACTGGCATGGGTGGGACTGAGTTCACTCAGCTCCCCAGAGAACCCTCAGTGACTCAGCCTCGTGGGGAAAGCTATTTAAGTAGAGTGTCTGGGACCTAGGGAAGCCACTGACACACCCAGGGCTGGTTTCATCATACTGACAGTGACAGTGGTTACACTTTCCTGGTAGGGTGCTGGGACCAAAGTATGCAAATCACTTAGCCTAGTAAATGGGAGAAATGGTGCTTACCTTCATAACCACAACTGTATATACTCCCATGTTTTCTCCCAGTGTTGTGGAATCTCTACCCCCCCAATACAATGCTGTCTACATAACAAGAGGCTGATTGCCCACAAAGGCTATATTTGGGGGAGACTCCCCCCCAAAAAGCAAGACACAGTTTCCCTGTGTAGCCTTGGCTGTCATCTTACAATTTGCTCTGTAGATCAGGCTGGCTGTTCTTGAACTTATAGAGATCTGCCTGCCTCTGCTTCCCAAGTCAAGCACTAAAGGGGTGGGCAATCACTGCTTGGCTTCCCTGCAAAGGCAAAGGTTCTTACAGAGCTGTGAAGAAGGGAAGGCCAGAAACCTGCCACTCCGTTTTTCATGCACTGGCCTAGCTCAGTAGTAAAGTGTTTTCATGGAGACAGATTGGAACCCAGAGGGTGAGGGTTGAGAAGGCAGCAGAGAAGCCAGTGAGCTGCTCTCTATAATAATAATAATAATAATAATAATAATAGTAGTAGTAGTAGTAGTAGTAGTAGTAGTAGTAGTAAAGCCAGAGGAGTCCACAGCACAAGATTTCCTGACAGGACACGTGCTGTCCCTTAATGGCAGACTTTGGAAGAGTGATAAGAGCTGGGAGGGTGCTCACAGGGGACAAGGTCGTGGTACAGTGGGAAAGAGAGGCTGGAGGCTGAGAGGGAGGCAGCTGCCCTCACAGGAGGGGTGGACCTGGTCAAGACACCAGGAGGGCTCTGAGAAGTTGCTCAGCTACCACAGTGCTCCTCCAGCATGTGCAGAGCCGCAGGCCCCACCTCTGGCCCTGTCCACTGAGTATAGTGCTGCCCCCTGTGATCCCAGCACCCCAGAAGCAGAGGCCGCATGGTCAGAAGGTCAGTTCATCATCATCCTGCACAAAGAGCTTAAGGTCAGCTTGGGCCACTTGGAAAATCAAACAGGAGGCCATGCAGGGTGGCACAAGAATTTAACCAGCACTACAGAGGCAGAAGCAGGCACATCTCTACAGGTTCGAGGCCAGCCTGATCTACAGAGCGAGTTCCAGGGCTGTTACATAGAGAAACCCAGTCTCGAAAAACAGCAACAACAAAAGTGAACATCACCCTCAACTGTCCAAGGCCACCTTAGGAAGATACATTCAACTGTCTCAGAGAACTCAAATCCCCTCCTCCTTCCTTCCCCTTCCCCCCTTCCCAAGCCTTTTTACTATCTGTAAGAGGGGGAATTAAAATCTCTCTTCTGCCTGCCCCTCTCCTGGGCCTAACACACAGTATCAATTACCAATCCATTATTCATTGATTGATTTATTTATTCCTACGCCTGCTCAGCACTGTCCACATGTCTTTTGTGTCTCACTGGCATCTGAAAACCCCTCAGGGACAGCCTGGCTCCTTGCTCTGTGAGGCACAAAGTCTGAGGGAGGAGGCCTTGGACTGAGGGAGGGAAGGACATTGTTGTGGAAAGAAAGCGAGGAGGCAGGGACACTAGAGAGGTGGAAAATGTTGGGGAAAGCAAACCTCGAGGTGCAGGAGCAAGGATGTCTTCCTTGAGCAGAGGCACAACCCTGGAGGGAAGGTGGGGGGTGGCACACAGAAGGGAGGGAGGAAAGGTGGGCTGGGGGCAGGGGACACAACAGGAAGGCGGGTCAGGTTCATCTCAAGGCAGCTCTGCAGTCAGAACCTCTGGAAGGAAGCTGTTCTAATTTAGGAAACGTGGACAGTCCATGTCAGTTCCTGAAACATTTTATTTTGGGTTATACGGAGATGGAATGTGTGGTAGAGTCTGTTCTCATTTTTTTTTCCAGCTTTTGGCTGCTAAGGTCCGAATGCAGCCCCAGCCACGCCTCAGCTCTACACATAGCGCCCCTGGCTGTCTTCTCGCTCCCCCCTTCTATTATTTATTTATTTATTGAGACACGGTTTCTCTGTGTAGCCCTGGTGGTCCTGAGACTCACTCTATAGACCAAGCTGCCTCGAACTCACAGAGATCTGCCTGCCTCTGCTGGGATTAAAGACGTGCGCCACCACCGCCTGCCTTAGCTTCTGACCTCTCCCTGGCCCCTGGAGCACTGCGATTACAAGCATGTGTCATCATGCCCAGTTTTGGGGTTTGTTGTTGTTTTAAGTTCTAAAAAAATATTATTTTCACTTTTTGAGACAGGGTATCCCTGGCTGTTCTGCAACTCTCTCTATAGACCAAGCTGGCCTTGAACTCACAGAGATCTGCCTGCCTCTGAGTGCTGGGAGTAAAGGAGTGTGCCACCATGTCATGGCTTAAAATGATCTAGTCTTATTATATGTGTTCGTGGCATGAATGATCTGTGTGTCTGAGGACAAGTGGCACACTGCACGTGTCTGGTCAGGAGACAACTCCTTCTCCAGCTGGGACCCCCTTTCTGCAGCCCTAGGCCTGGATTGATAACCAGAGGCCTGTGCATGCTCGCCAGGCACCCCCAGCCCAGCCACCCGTAGAAGGCCAGGGATTGACTTGGCTTTTGGTAGATGGGAATTCTGAAACACAGAGAGTGGAATCAATCAACTCATTCAAGGTTACACAGCACATTTGTGTCAGAGCTGAGGCTAAAAACAGACCTCTGAGCTGTGCCTCCCTACTTCTCATGGAACCTGTTTGGAGGCTAGGAGATGGGGCAGGAGACCTGACTGGCTGGGCCTTGGCTGCCCAGTGCAGTGTTTATTTTCTGAGCCCTCTTTCAGCACGGTGACTGGCAATAGGCTGTGCTGAGAGACAGACTTTCAACCCCTCTGCCTCACCTCACTTCCTACCCCGCCCCACCCCCACCCTACCCCCACCCCATCCTCACCCCACTACCTCCTACCCCCACTACCTCCCACCCCGCCACCTCGCCAGTTGGCCTCACACTTGCACATTGTGCAAGCATCACCTGCCTGGTGGACAGAGACTATTGCCAGCAGCACCTTAAATCCCAAGACCAGGGTGTCAGGAGTCTTGCAATTGTAGGTTTCTCTGCCTGTGACTATTGTCTGGAAGCCACACCTCCTCCGTGAAACCCTTGACCTTTG